TAATTATTCCATTATTAATATGTTTTTGGCAATTAATCTTTAACTAATTAATTAATATTTATTATTTGTTTTAATTAATATTTTCAAAATTTAATAATAAGAAATTAATATTTAATTAATAAGTAAGTAGTAATTACTGTGTATTTATTAATTATGAATTAATACAACTTATAATTTATAATTAATAATTAATTATTTACTATAATATCGTTGATAAGTACTAGAAAATGAAAACAGAAAAGGGAAAACAACTTTCAATCATTTTCTAGTTCCTTCACAAAAGTCATTCTCACTTTAAAAAAAAAAACATTTGCTAAATAAACATGATTTGCAAACCGTTTTCGTTTTCATACCTCAAAAGACGTGCGGAAACGTTTTTAAAAACAACTAAAAATTAATTTCAAATGCACCCTTATTTTCTTTTTTGACAACTGACAAGGATGCACGATATGTTTCTAAATATGTAATGCTATTAAATTCTCTTTATTTTTATTAAGTTTTTTAATGCATTAATGTGAAGTTTTTTTTTTTTTTTTTAAAAGTGAAATATATATCATAACATAAAAGTACAATACAAACACCAATCCCCACCTAGATAGCCAAGTATTACAAGAAACATGATACTAACAAACGACTACTTTTACATGTTAAGTCGAAGGAAACGATCAAGGAGAAATAATGTGTACCATGTTCCACAAATAGATACCCCAGAGTATTACACCAAATATCTAGTATGGTCAGGAATCTGTGACTAGTCCTCTATAATTGATGGAAAGAAATCTAATAACCGATGTCGAGAACTCTGTAGCACGAGCACATAAAAAAAATTGCCAATAAAAGAGTCCAACGAACAGGGAAAAAATAAAAGGGAAGAACTAACACGACAAATGCACAAACAAATCGAGATAGAAGACACCTTTATCACAAACCCAAACATAACTAAAGGAAAAAAAAAAAAAAAAAAAAAACAACAAAACTTGCACCAAATTAGGAGAGAAGCATAGTTAGCGCATCATCGAACTAACAAATGAACAACATACACTTAGGGCCCGTTTAGTTTGTTGATTTGAGTTTTTAATTCGAGTTGAGATGTGACTTTATGTGAGAACTTTTTACTGTAGTAAAAAAGTTAGATGTGATTGTTTGTGAGAACTTTTTACTGTAGAAAAATTTGAATTCTAAACTCGAATCAGCGAAATGAACGGAGCCTTAGCTCAACGTAATTGCCTATCACGACACTTGGGCCTAGTTTGAATCTTGGTCACAATAAATAGCTTATGGAGGAAGAAGGAAATAACAGAATCTTCAGGGAGAATAAAAAATAGTGATACAAGTTTTTAAAAAATGAAATAAATAGTATTTTTAAGATGAATCTGGTTTTACAAGCTACCGAAAAACCCAACATACCCCCACATGTGATAAACAATGAAACCCTAGCCCACAAAATTTTTCTGAATTTCTTTGTCTCTCCTCCCATAAACAACCGCATACATCTTTCTCTCTCCTTCCTCTTCCTCTCTCTATATGTCGTCTCCTTCCGATTCGCGACGATTTCAAAACGGCTGCGGTGTCGTCATTGTTCGATCTGTGAGTTTCTTTCCCTCAACCGCTAGAGACAACCGAAGCCATAGACAAAGATGACAATCAAGGAAGAACAGCATGCCAGGAGAGAGAAAGACAGTGAACAAGAAGCATGAGAAGAGAGAGAGGGAGAGGGGGAGAGAAAGAGGGTAAATGTGGAATTTAAAAACATTTGCTAAATAAACATGATTCGAATAGATAAGCATGGAATTTAAAAACATTTTTCATTCATGATTTACCCTCTTTCTCTCCCCCTCTCCCTCTCTCTCTTCTCATGCTTCTTGTTCACTGTCTTTCTCTCTCCTGGCATGCTGTTCTTCCTTGATTGTCATCTTTGTCTATGGCTTCGGTTGTCTCTAGCAGTTGAGGGAAAGAAACTCACAGATCGAACAATGACGACACCGCAGCCGTTTTGAAATCGTCGCGAATCGGAAGGAGACGACATATAGAGAGAGGAAGAGGAAGGAGAGAGAAAGATGTATGCGGTTGTTTATGGGAGGAGAGACAAAGAAATTCAGAAAAAATTTGTGGGCTAGGGTTTCATTGTTTATCACATGTGGGGGTATGTTGGGTTTTTCGGTAGCTTGTAAAACCAGATTCATCTTAAAAATACTATTTATTCCATTTTTTAAAAACTTCTATCACTATTTTTTATTCTCCCTGAAGATTTGTTATTTCCTTCGTTCCTCCATAAGCTATTTATTGTGACCAAGATTCAAACTAGGCCCAAGTGTCGTGATAGGCAATTACGTTTTCGTTCACTTTATCGATTTGAGTTTTTAATTTTAAATTTTTACAGTAAAAAGCTCTCAGAAAATGTCACATCTAACTTTTTCTGCTACAGTAAAAAGCTCTCAGAAAATGTCACATCTCAGCTCGAATTGAAAACTCGAATCCGCGAAGTGAACGAGGCAAAATTGTTTTTTTAGTTGCATTTTTGGGTTATGGTAATTTGAGTGTAGATTTTGAGTTGAATTTGAGTTATAATTTAAGTTGAAGTTATAACTTGAGTTTGTGTTTAAATGTACGCACATAAGTTATGATTTGATTTGAGAATCTATTTGAGTTTGTGTTTGAGTAGGTCAAAACTTGAATTTGTATTTAAATAATATTTTAATAAAAACTCAATGGTGATGAAAAATTTTAATAAGGTATATGGGTGGAATTTTATTCGTCTCTTCATTGTGAACACAAAGAAAAAAAATAATCTCAATCGGAATTAAAACGAAAAAGTTATGACGTTATTAGGAATAGAATAAATACTGTTTATTAACTTGAGTTTGAGTTTAAGAACTTGAGTTGAAAGAGAAACTTAAACTCAGATTTTAGCTCCAAACTCAAGTTCAAACTCAAATTTTACAAACGAACATGAACTTGAATAAAGTTGTAACTTCAATTCAAACTTTTTTGAGTTTTACTCCAAAAGAACAAGCCCTTAGTTCTTAAGTTTTTTTTTTTTTTTTTTTTTTATTTCTTTGGTTTTTGAAGGAAAATTGAACTGCTTTGGTTCTTGAAGTAAAATTGAATAACGATTTCTGACGTACATAATCACATAGTAATAATAAAAACTTTTTCATAAATAATGCAAAACATTATAGTTTTTAATAGGTTTTAATGGTAACAAAAAAAATTATGTATAACATAATTTTTTTCGTAAAATTTTAAATTTTCATGCGATGAACACATGTTTATATTCGTAAAATTTTAGAAATCATTCGCTAATTTTATTATCAGAGAACAAAACGTTAAAAAATAAAAATTTAGAAAATAAATATACTTAAATTAAAAGTTTAGAGATTAAAATATATTATTGTGCTCAAAATTCAGGTAGTAACAGAACAATTAACCTAAAGAAAAAATATACAAACTATTTGCTCTAAAAAAAATAAAAAAAAAAATAAAAACGAAGAGGAGTTGGAAAAAGAATAAAAAAAGAAATTTCTTAGAAAAAATTAAGAAAAGAAAAAGTTAAAAAAAGCCAGCTACTGAGATTTTTTTTTAATAATTAGCTACTGAGAAATTGAGATTAAATTACGAGCCCACAACGTTACGCGCTTTTGAAACATTCGACGTTAGTGGATCAACTTCCCCAATTATGACCACAAAATTCAAAGAAAATCTATACTCTTATCACACGCTCTACAGAGTCCGTGGGTAACAACCACTGGATTTTGAGCATTGATTTCAAGAGCGCGTGTACTCAATCTTCTTGGAAAGCGTGGTAGTCTTTTATCATAAGTTTACAATTAGAAATTAGGAAGCGGGAAACCTGAAAAAGCAGGCGCGATTTACGCGGCTAAGAAAGAAAAAAAAAAGAAAAAAGAAAAGAAGACGCAATCCCTTTATCGTAAATAATTCAAAATACAGGGGTAAATTCGAATACTAAGAGACAAAAAACGATAAAGCACCTAGATAATGGCCGTTTTGTGGTTAATTCGGGCATTTAATTTTGAATAGTCTTTAGCGCCAAACCACCGTCACTTCCCAACCCATTGGCTAAAACAAGGCCGTGTTAAAGTCAATTATTTGTTTTGATGTGGTGGAATTTTGAGTGCTAAAATGCTTTTTAAAAAAAAAAAAAAAAGAGAATTGACTAACATCATTTTGAAACTTCATTCGACAATAATAACGTCACATGTTTCTTTTGATTGCAAAGATACTGGATAATAAATCTATACATAACTCCATTTTAAAGTGCAGAGTTTAATTCTTAACCCCAAATTTAATAATAATGTTACATGTTTCATTATGACGTAGAAATATTACAAGTTTGCGTTACATCTAATGCAAGTTTACTGTACTGTTAATCTTTTAATTATTAATATCGACGTAAAAGTCTGTGATATGATAATACTAATAATTACAGATATAATTTAGCGATAAATTCTCACTCTTTCTGTAATATTAAGCTCTAGAAAAAAGGTCTTTCCTAGACCAAGCCACGAGCCAACAAGGCACGAGTCATGAGTGGTCATAGGTCTAAGTTCAAAAGCCATAAAAATCAAGTGGGTTTTGTGGATTAGTCCCAAATTCCCAATATAGGCCAAAAGGTGGCCAACCGAGTAGACCCAGAAAAGTCAGCAGCCAACTATTATGTGTCACATTTACACGCATGCTGCACTAAGGTCCAACCAAGAAAAAGGAAAAAAAAAACCAATTATTTATTTTTGCAAATTTAAAATAGTAAACAGATAGCCATAGAGAAAGAAAGAGAGAGATAAAAAAAGATAGATAAATAACCAAATTAAAAACTCCCATAGCACTAGTTTCGCCCACAAAGCAGCATTCATTTCTGTGCTTCAACCAACCAACTCTGACCCCATCATCATCATCATCATCTTCTTCTTCTTCCCCATCTTTCTCTTCTTTACCAAAAGTTTCAAGATTCATATTTTTTGAGAAACAAGAAACTCAACTTAAAAATACGACTTTAATTCTTTTGTTGTCGTTTTTTCCAAATTTGGTAAAAAGGAAAAAAAATGGAGTGCATGGAAGCCAAGGCTTTGAAACCGAGTTTGCTTGGCGAGTTGACTCAGCCAGAGTTTATTGAAGAGTTTCGTTATGCCTCGACAAATACCACCGGAGTTTCATGCGTTCCCGGCGAAGATTTCTCCGTCGACGAGCTTCTCAACCTTCAGAACGTCGAATTCGAAGAAGGGTTTGTCGAAGAAGAAGAAGACGACGAAGAAGAAGAAGAAGAAGAAAAGGACTCTTTGTCTATTGACGGAGAAAATTCCAACGTCTCCGTCGCCGGAGACTCAGAGTCACCTCTAACCAGCGCACTCGCCGTCCCGGTAAGAAAGAAAATGATTTTTTTTGGGTTTTTTTGTCATAATAATTTTTGTTGGGGTTAATGAGAATTTTTTTTCTGGGGTTTTAACAGGACGATGATATAGCAGAGCTCGAATGGGTATCTCATTTTGTGGACGATTCTGTCTCCGATTTTTCTCTTCTACATCCACTTGGCAAGCAGAGAACCGAAGCGAACTGGTACGAACCGGAACCCAGACCGACCGGTAAAACCCCACTTTGTTTTCCGTCGGTGCCGGTCCGGCCCAGAACGAAAAGGGCTCGGCCCACTACTCGGCCGTCGCCGCTGAGTCAACTCTCCGAGTCGTCATCGTCGTCTATGTCCAATCTTATCTTCGTCTTGTCAAAAGCCATCCGTGAACCGGCGAGAAAGAAGCAGAAGATAAAACCCGCGGCAGTTCAACCTGGTTCTGGTTCGACCGGGTCGCAATTTCAGAGGCGGTGCAGCCACTGTCAGGTGCAGAAGACCCCGCAGTGGAGAGCCGGGCCGCTCGGTGCCAAGACGCTTTGTAATGCGTGTGGAGTCCGGTTCAAGTCCGGTCGGCTTTTTCCCGAGTATAGACCGGCATGCAGTCCAACTTTTTGTAGTGACGTGCACTCTAATAGCCACCGGAAGGTGTTGGAGATGAGGAAGAAGAAGGAAATTGTCGGACCGGGGTCCGGGTTGACCGAAGTGATTTCTAGCTTTTGACCTTTTTTTTTGGGAAGCGTGGGTTTCGGAAAATTGTAGCTGAACCGGGTTTGAACCGCTTAGGTCGGTACATTTTTCTTGGTGGTGGTGGTGGTGGTAGATGTAGTAGTATTGTAGTGGCATGCAAAATAGCTTATAGGGAGATGTTAGTTTTATATTTTTTAGTTATTAGTTAATTATAGGTATTTTTTTAATGTCCTGTAACTATTCATTTTGCAGCTTTAGTGAAGGCGAGATCTCGTTTCTGGTCATTTTATCTATTTGAGTTTAAAATTTAAATTTTGTTATAGTAAAAAACTCTCAGAAACAGTCACATTTAATTTTTTTATCAAAAAAAAAACTCTTATATAAAATAATATATCAATTCAAATTAAAAATTTAAAAAACAGTCATATTTAATTTTTTTATAAAAAAAAAACTCTTATATAAAATAATATATCAATTCAAATTAAAAATTTAAATTTTAAACCGGCCTTAATTAATAGGCGTTTTTGGATTTTGGCTGAAGGATGCTGGGTATCATATTAGTATATTACCATGTTCCTTCATTGAGTAACATCATAAATATGGCACGTCACGTTAGTTTTTTGATAATTTTTTTTCAAAAGTCCATCTAGTGAAAAATGGTGCAAATTTAGGCTCTGTTCATTTCGTCAATTTAAGTTTTGTTACAGTAAAAAGTTTTAAAAAAAGTCACATTTAACTTTTTTGTTATAATAAAAAGCTCTCAAAGTCACATCTCAACTCAAATTAAAAATTCGAATAAGTGAACTAAACGAGCCTTTAAATCTTGAAGTTTTTGTACTAAAAAATGTACCAACATAAATCTGAATTCTTAAATGTCTCATATTTAGGAGTTGTTCGGTTGGATGAATTTACTCGAGAAAGGCCCACTCGAATGATGAATTCGGCCCAAGTATATGTTTGGCGTTGGCTTAGTCGAAACCAAACTCATAAATGAACTCGAGTTACTTAGCCAATCTTGAATTCATCCTCTCCCCCTCTACTCGAGTGACAAATCTGTTAAAAAAACTTCAGCAAAGTCCTCTTCCGACGCAAACTTCTCCGGCATCCCACCTACGGCGAGGCGCTTTGCTTTTCCTCCGCTATGAGAACTTCTTCAGCGAAGTCCTCCTCCTCCGCCGTCAGTCACCTTTGCGTACTTTCCGCCAGCCACCTATGTGCACTCTCTGCCGCGTGTCCGACGACACCACCCTCATCAAATATCTCTCCGACCGCAGATCTGCGGAACCTAACCATCCATTTGTCCAATCTCAGCTGAAATAACCATCGACTCGACCTATAAGTCGCGACCCAGCCATCGTCGGAGGGGATTTTGGAAATTGGGGTGGATTGGGTTATTGGATTGCAAGGAATTGTTGGCGAAGTCTGGGGTTGAGATGGTGGGAGTTCTGTTGTTTTTTTGGGTTCGAGGGCAGAGGAGGATGTCGTTTATTGGGCGGTTGATGTGTTTTGGGAGAGTGGTTTTATTGTTGTTTAGAAGCCTTTTTTTGTGTGGAAAAATTTCATAAATCGCTCTGAACCTGAACTATGTATGTAGTTAAAATGATGATCTGGTATTTTAAATTGCATAAAATTAAATAAATTCAAATAAGGAAATATATATTTTTTCTCTCCCCACTATTCACAACTCAAGTCTTATTATACACCTAAACACAAACTCAAAAATATTCCATTCTCAAACCTAACTCAAATATACACAAGCAAATACAAACTCAAGTTATAACTCAAATTTAACTTAAGAACTACACTCAAGTTATACTCCAAAAGAACATACCCTTAGTTTTCAATGTTCTCTTAAATTTTAAATGGAAAAAATTAATGTCCCGTTCATTTTACCGATTCGAGTTTATAATTCAAGTTTTTCTACAGTAAAAAACTCTCAGAAACAGTCACATCTAACTTTTTTACTACAGTAAAAAGCTCTCATATAAAATCATATTTCAATTCAAATTAAAAACTCGAATCAACGAACTAAACATGTCCTATGTCATAAACAAATGGTAAATACCATATCCCACCATTGAACTTGTAAAAAGGTACATTCAAAGTCCATTCATTTCATGAAAACAAAAAGACAAACAATTTGTCCAAATTACACCTCAATTCCTTCTCAATTCTCATTCTTAAAACCTTCTCTCTTTTCTGCTCATTCCCCTGTTTGGTGGGGGAAAGGAAGAACGTAAATAATCGTAGAAATATTTTTATTTGCTTAAAATCCTTTTGTTTTCAAATATTAAATATGATTTTCTCAAATCAATACACATTAAAACGTTCGAAAATTTTACCATGTATATACAAACATATAATATCTTTATACATGCCTTATTTATACATATTGTAAATATATACACACATAATTATTACATATAAGTGAAAATTAAATATATTGTGGGGAAAGTTGGAATTTCATTTTTCCATGGAACAATTTTTTTTTTTCCAAAAAAAAAAAAAAGCATGATTATGACAGGTTCAACTAATTTTGTTAATTATTATGAATTTACATCTATGAACTTTTTTTTTTATTGATTGGGCTTTTAATGTACCTTTTTTCAGAAAATGGTGAGAAAAAGTATTTAATAATTTATTTATAACTTGGCTACAAACATGTTAGCTTTTTCTGTTAAATATTTAACAAAATATTTATTAAGAGACTAAATCCGAGACACTTAAAGAGTTTAGAGTTTAAATTGATACAATTTTTTATATAAAGATTAATTATATAAAGAAAAAAAAAACTCGGAGTCTTTTGGTGATTTTTTTTAAACACTTGTGAAATTTTTATATTTGTCAATAGATAAAACTGAATAGTATACCCTAACAATAATAAAATTGAATAGAAAAGTGGGTTTCGAAAGAGTAGCACTACAGGGAAGAGGCGCTGTTTTTTTATTTTTTTTATTTTTTTATTTTTTTATAAATTGTTTAACGTAAGTAATGGTGTGGATTTAGATTATGCATGCACACATCGTTTATTTATCATTTTTTAATTATTCATATCTTCTCTCTCCATTTTGTTTGTTTTTTTTTTCGCCCCTTGTAATCATATCTTCTCTTATAAAAGTGGAGAGACAATCAAATGTTAGAGAAGTATTTTTAAAAAATAGAGAATTTCTCTAATAGAATAAAAAAATGAACTACGATTAGTTTTCTATTTTTTATTCATTAAATATGTATTAAAAATTATATATTTTGTATATTTTTTTTAATCTGATGTGATTTTTATTAAATTTAATGGTCAAAAATTGACATTACTAGAAATATTGCTTATTAGAAAAAGTTCCAAAAAATGATATCCCATGTTTTTTTTAATGAAAAAGAAGTAATAAAAATATCGTCCATTTTGTCTATAATAGAGTTGTAAGTTTAGACCGAACTAAATGAGTCAAGTTAAACAGGCCAGCCTGAGACCCGTAATTGTTGGCTCAGGTCCGACCCTAAATTTTTTAGGCTTAGGGCTGGGCTGGGCCGACCTATCTCCTTTAGAGCCGGTCTAATCCCACCCAAACATCATATTTTTAAAGATTTTTTCAAAATACCTTAAAAAAATTCTAAGAAGACAAATTTTTTAAGCTTAAAGCTGAACTGAACTAACATTCTTTCTTTTAAGACCGGTCCAATCTAACTTGAAATTTCTTTTTGGACAGTCAAATCTGAGTCAGGCAGTCTAAACTTACACTTCTAATCGATAGTAAAAATCTAAGGCCAGAAAAAGTCGTGCATTAATAGGTAAGGAATGTAGACTATCGATTTTTTTTTAAGCGGGGGTTAAAAAGTAGGACATACAGGGTGATGAGGACTAATGACGTAAGGTGAACCATTATGCATTATAAAAGTATAATTTGTTGCTAATAATCTACCAGAAATGCCTTTTATTTAATTACTCAAAATTAACCATTCATTTAATCTAAAAAAGTACTATTCATTTTTTTAAAAAAGTTTTATTTAAACTTTGTGTATGCATGTTTGAATTACAAGGGGCACAGTTCAGAGAAAATTTTTGTAATTAATTCTAACTTTAAAGCAGGGAAAGGTGCGAATCTATGGAGAATTAAAAATTATTTAAATCTAAGTAAACCTTAGAAAAACATGATGCATGAATTTATGCTCACAAGTGCACGAGTCCCCTAAAGTAATAAAATGTGAATAAGAGTGTCGATCCTACGATAAATGTGTTTAATTTCGTTAATTACCGAAATTGATCGGCTCTAAGATTATTTAAATGACTGGATTAAGTAACGAACAAAGGAAAGTAATAAAAATAATAACTAAAAGAAATAATTAAATGATAAAAGTGCAATTTAGAGATGAGGATTGAATGGAACTTTGATGCTAATAAAGTGGTTAGGGGCTTTGATCAC